CCTAAATTGGAAAAAAGAGAATTTAGTATCTATACGAAGAGTGGAAACGAAAGCGTCTCTGAATGTGAATGGAGTTTCGTAATCAATTGTTGATGGTTGACACTTGTGAAACCATGAATCTAGCCTAAATTTGACTAATAGCAATTTGTATTGTTTAACTAAATTATTTAAGATTTAAATATTGATTTTGAGTATGAAATAGATTATGTTAAAAGAGAAATATATATTTTATGTATGATCTTTTATAAGGATTAATCATTATGTTTAGTGATAAATATTTTAGATCAATATTATTGTTACTCCAAGAAGGAAAAAAAAATGTAGCTAGAAAATACTAGGAAAAGGGCAATGTAACAGAGACCCCCAAACAGGGACATCATTGTTTATGGCGATGCTTGTCCAAGATGCTTAATTTCAATAGGAAACAGATACGTTTCCATTTGGGCCAATGCCAATCAAAGAGGTTTACGAGTTTCCACAAAGGGGAATGCATGACTTTGGTTCAGTTTTCTAACCGAATGTTCTAAACAAAAAACAAAGAATTGGGGGGGTTGGTGAGTGGTGATTACTGATCTGTTGTCTTGTCTTGCACTTATCGTGGTGAGCACACAAAAAGGTAGTGGGAAACTAGAACCCACTTTTTCAAAGTAAAGTATTGGAGTGAGTTGAACAAGGTTATTTCTTATTTGGGTAATGTGATGGACTTTGGGGGGCACTCTTTTTAAGTTATTGGAGCAAGTTTAGTGTTCAACGCAAACTCCTCCACCAACCTTTGATGTCTGCCATTTTCTTCTTGCTATGCTCAGCATGATGGTTAGGGTTGAACATTGTGTGACTTTAGGACTTGCCTTTCTAAACCACTGAAAATTGTGTTAAGGGTTGATTTTATGCCCTTTTGTTGCAACTTTGAAGAAGTTCCTCTAAATATAGGGTTCCCTATGCTTTTGACTGATGCTTAGGCCAGCAGCCCAATTAAGTTAGAAAGAGGGCTAACTATGCCAATATAGCCTATACTAAATACCAAGCTAGGCCCAAACCACAAACTCATTATCAGGCTTTTGGCAAAGAATATTGCAAATTTAATTTTTTTTAACAACAAAAACAAAAAACTATATATATTTTTTCATATTATCTCACTTCTAATTTTACCCATTAAAATACGCTTTTATTTTAATATCAAAACAAATCAAGTTTTTGGCATGAGCTTTTATTATTTTTATAAAAATTATTATTATTAAAATCAACCTTTTTATCAAATATTTTTTTTTATGTGATAATGGAGTTGGCTTCTTAAAAATTCACTTCCTGATCATAATTTTTATTAATATATTTCTATAATAAAATATGTTTTAAAAAATAAATAGTAAAATCATGGCACTTTGACCATCTTAATTTTTTTCCTACCTTAAATGTATTATTTCCCAGTGCAATACACCAAAGCTAATTTTGATGTATTTGTTTAAATTAAATAAAACAATTTTTTAATTAGATGTGCTAAAATAGTATAAACCACTTTCCCGACGCAATACACCAAAGCTAATTTTGATATGTACAAAGAAAAGCTAATTTTGATGTATTTGTTCAAATTAAATAAAATGATTGTTTAATTAGATGAGTGAAAATAGTATAAACCACTTGAGATTTTAAAATATTAAATGAACTGGTATTTTCTTTTTGTGTTAAATTATATTATATTATATTATATTGAAGATTATATATATCAAAATTTTCATATTTTTATAATTATTTGATTTACAAAGTTATTTAAAAAACCCGATAAAAAATATTATTTTTGGGTGGATTCGAGCGGGTTTTATGAGTAAATCAGATTAAAATTTTGATTTTATACTGGTTATATTGGGCGGGTTCAATTTTGAATTTTTAAACTCGCTAAAAACCGAACCCAACCGAAAATGAGATAAGTTTAGATTTTTATTATTTTGTATAACTAAACAACAATGGTCCAAACTTAAAAGTCTTTATTTCAAGTATAAATATAGTCATCAATTTGTAACTTTTTTTTTTTCCTTTTTCTCATAACTTAGATATTTATTTTGTCTTCTTCTTCCTCATTCAACTTCTCAACATACTAGTCCATTTTTAGAGTTTTTTTTTTGCTTCTTTTTTTGTCTTTCTTTTCCATCTTCTTATCTCCATTTTAAGGCTAACTTGTGCGGCTGTGGTTTCTTATGAGTTTTATGATCTAACTTTATATTCTTTTGCATGTAACAACTATGAATTTTTTTATCTTTTATTTTTGCTTCTTTAGTTTGTAAATGTTTCATCTACGAATCTACTTACACCATCTATTGTCACATTCATTCTATTTTTGTACACTATTTTAAAAAAATATATTTTTTTTATCATTTTAAGCTTCATCTTTGTTAAGATAACTTGATCTACAAAAAAATTCAAACCCAATTGTACCCACCCGCTCAAATCCAAATCCGTTTCAACCCGAACCGCCTCAAATCGAAGTCGGTTGGATATGGGTCACATTTTTCGAAAGCCGATTTACAACGGGTTAGACATTTTTCACCCGAACCCGACCAAACTCATCTGTTACTCACCCCTATATATATATATTTATAACACTATGTTTGATACATTTTTAATTTATCTCGATTCCTATGTTTAATTGTTACTAAAATAACTGCTTTAAACTTAATTATATATTTTATATTTTTTATCAAGTGAATGAATTATAACATAATAAATTAAATATATTTGAACATATAATTTAATTAAAAATATATTGCAAAATCTTCTAATAAATATTCTTCATCAATATTAAGTTTAATGTATTAAATTATATGTTCCAATATAAGAGATAGGTAACAATATAATACTTAATTTTAACATATGAAGAGAGAATATTATAATATTTATATCTCTTTAAAGATAAAAGTATAGTTTAAATTAATGACATGGAATTAAATTATATATTTAAAAAAAAAGGAAAATATAAATCTTCTATTTCTCACTAAAGGGAAGGGTAATTTATTCAAATTAAATTCTAATAAATATTCTTCAGTGATATTAAGTTTAATGTACTAAATTATATATTTTCATAACATTAAATATATAAAATTATATATTTTGACAAAAAAAAAATACTATAATACTTCTATCTCACGAAAAAAGGGAGGGTAATTTATTCAAATTAAATAATGGCCAAATGCACCGACCGTCATATACTTTTGTCCAGTTAAAGGAAGCTAAAAGTTAGATCACATTATGCGACTGCGTAAAAAATGAATAAATTAAACTTCAACCACAACAATTACTATTGCACCAAAATCCTACTAACTACTAAGTTGTATTCATTAATATATATATATATATATATATATATATATGATACATCCGATCACACTATATGATACATCCGATCACACTCCCGTAGCTTTACTTCGTTACTACATCTTGTTATTAGTTTCAAATTCTAAGATAAACTTTACCAATTTAACTTAAAGGTGCAATTTCTCGAAAATCAAGCCAAGTCAAACAGATTAAGAACTAGTACGTGACATCTGACAATCACTAGGAGTGTTAATTCTTCCTCTTTTGAACAAGTCTAGTCTTAGATTACTGAGATGATGTTCTTTTCCTCTATTCTGGTACATTGACTCTACCGAAAATGTTAAAAGGAGAAAGGAACCTTGTTTAGCTGAACTTTTTGACTGAAAATCATTATCAATAATATTTCTACCTGTACATTTTAGGCAAAACTGATTCTCAGACGAGATTTCCCATGAAAAGAATGATCAAGACTTCCACGTTCTTCCCAGAAGCATCTTGCTTCAAGAACTTAAATTGTAAACAAATTTTGTTAGCACTATTTCTCCTTTTGTACATCCTTTTCCTGTTCATGATATTGCTTCTGCCAAAGGCAAACCTGTTCAAGAAAAGGAACCCCATATCAGGAAAATAATACCCTATAGAGTGCTATCCCTTAATATTTCATATTATAAGGACACAAGATGATTTTTTGAGTAAAGCCGATACGTAAAGTGCTATATATTGAAACTCAATCCACAGACTGGCTAGTATGTATTGAAGGCAAGATAACAGAATAATTATTACAACTCTAGGACCTTGTAGGCCAATCAATGGTCATGTTATATTACTAAATGCTATGTTCCATGTTAGAAGAAAAGGATATAAAGTACCTTCTATTTGAAAATCCTGAGTATGAATTGGCGATTTTAGTATTGTGAAGAGCTCAATTATTGGTAGAATGATCTGGTAAAAATTTAAAATTTTCAATTGAAACAGGTACGAATTATCATGTCATATATCGATGAGTTGACATAACATGAGCAATTGCCAATGACTAAATAAAAAATGGTAGAGTTCTCTTTATATGCCAGTAAACATGCAAACCAGTGAAAATGTACAGCCAAAGCTTACTGACCTTAAGTAATTTATCTCCTCTAGGGAAGAAGAAAACTAACTTCTGCTGGAAGAAACAATAACTTATTAATCATTTTTGCAAAGCAAGGAAAAGTTTCTGTAAACAATGGTATAAGATATAAGTCTTACATCAATAATCAATTCAAATACAAAGTGCACCCATGTCAGGTGTTACCAAGTCGTATTCACAGGGTACTTCAGCTTTTGCAGAAATCCCCTTTTTTCCTTGCTTCCTTTCTTTTTTGCCCCTTCTTGAGTCAGCTGCTTGGTTACTGATACAACAGAAATATTGTTAACACACATTAAAATCATTCTTGTAACACATTAAATCAAGTCAACAAAGTTAAATCCAAGAAAGGAACACCATGTGAGCTCCCAGAGGAAAAAAAAATTCTAAATACTCTGCTGACATTAGTTGAATGGTTGAAATTTCAAAATAACTACAGAAGGAGTCTCTGAGACACATACACTGCAAACTTAGCAGATTGTTTCCCCAAGGCAGATCCACAACAAGCTTTGTATTTCTTTTTGGAACCACAAGGGCAGACCTTGTTTCTAGGAATCTTGTTATTAACCCCAAAAAGAAGAGGCAGTTAGAACAAGAGGCAAAAGTATGTGCTAAAGGAGATCAAAATATTAGAACAGCATGTATGAAAAGTTATTTTTGGATCATCCCCCCTAACCCCAGGGGATGGAGCACAAATAAACCAAAAATAGAAGTAAATAGAGAACCTTGTCATTTGATTGCCATGTGATATTATCATTAGTTTTCTTGGAGCTATTAGTTGATTCATCATTAGTGCTTCCCTCTACCATGTCTTCTTTATGTTGCTTATGATTCTCATTTTCATCCTGACCTGTACATGTTTGGAATTTGAGATCAGAGTTACAATAGAACAGAAGTTTCATTTATTTTCCACTAATCATGATGATTTATACTAAAGGCTAATGAATAAACATTAACATTTATGAATCCTACCAAGACATAAAATGCTAGAGAAAAAAAATTGCCAATAACATGAAAATATGTTTGTTAGTTTTCCCCCTGACGATACAGAAAGTGCAAAATGCATTTACTTACCACAAGTATTAACCTGACTCGGAAGGGAATCAGAGTCTGCAGAGCACTCTTCTGTTTCTTGTTCTGCTATTAGAAACTCTATTGCAGCATCAACATCTCCATTTACCTGCTCTAGAATCTGGGACAAGGGAGACATGCTTTGAACATATGTCAAATTGTTAATTCTCTAGAAAAGACAGCAACTTGCAAGAAAGACTGAACTGAAATATTAGTCATGCAACACAAGAAGCTAACAGCAAAACAAGGCATGCACTTTTTCCACCTGTTCCACTTTTTCAGCATTTTCACATCCAGTTCCAGCCATAACCAACTTTATGGACCCTTGTTGAAAACTTTCCCTAAGATCGGAAG